CGGACTGCTTTAGAGATGCTGTACAAACCTAAAGAGCCGATAGGGCTGCAGCTGCACTGAGGATGTTGCATCGGTGACCAACAAGACACGACTTAGATCAAACAGCGATCACAGTCCTCAAAGGACTCTCTGATTCGCTGGACTACGATCTCAACCGCACTGTTGTCATCATCGCTCTTCGTGCTCGCCCCCACGACCTGCAACTGAAAATCACCACAAGTTTCTGAAACGTCTACGACAAAAGTGTCCGCCATCTCAGAAGTGGAGGAGTTCAGATGTAGAGATTCCATAGGCAGGCTCTACGCCCGCAGGTCCAAAACTAGGCGACTTCTGAGGTTGCGGGCCATCTGGCCAGATCTGCGTCGCTTCAGCAAGCCACCTGAAGCTGTGTGCAGGATAACCCCAGCTGCTGACCGCAAACTGCATCGCGAGAAAGCTCAGCAGCATTCCTCGTGGGCTTGCTGTCTCCAGCTTCGTTTGGCACAGAAGATCTCGTTGCAAAGCCTCGAACACGAAGAAGCATCGTCTCTGTGCCCTACCGGAGACTGACGTGCAGAGTTTCTGCGTCTCAGTGCACGGCGAAATGATGAACTTCGGCCGAGAATAAAATATCTTCTAAGGCGACCTCCTGAAACACATCGTGTCATTTTGTCGTGGGACTCACCTATTCACTACCACGACATGAGTGTGTGGGCTGTCCAAAATGTCACAGGCAGCGCCACAATCCGCACTGAGCGAGTACCAGATTCCTGCGTGCAAGCTGTCACACCGACAAAACCAGTACGCCATGATTGCCAATTAAATTGAGGCAGCATGTTCAGCTGGCATGCCACAGGCCTCCACGCCAGAAGTCGGCAGCTTTCCTGGAATCGACGTAGAAGCTAAGCTGTGGGGCTAAATGCTCACAGCTGTTCAGACCCAGGCGATGAGTTCGACTCGGCTGACAAACACGAGGCCTGCATCGACGGGTTCAAAGGGAATGACATCTAGGCACGACTTTCGGACGAGCACAGGCAGCCCTCCTGCTTCCACAAAGTGGCAGTCTCCGACAGCAGTTTTGGAAGCCATCCACGTGCACGCAAACATAGTCGAACATCGTGTGATCCGACCTATTCGACTTGAACTCAAGCATGAGCAGAGACACATTGCATTGTGATCACTCTCCCACTGTAACTCGTTAGATCTTGGCTGCCCGCCGAGCGAAAAATCTCGCGCAGCTTCCTGTGCTTGAGCCGGCATGAAGCATACTCTTCTAGGGGCAGAATCCAATGCCAACATCTGCTGCACCACGCTGCAACCGCCATTAACCCCAGCCTGAGAGCACCTGGTGGAGAGGATGCTGACAACAGGTAGGTAAGGCGGTCAGCGATGGCCTGGAGACAGGCATAAGGATTCTCGCAACTGAGCCCTACGATGCAGTGAGGCTCTACCTCTGGATCACGAATTCCACTCAAGCCCAAAGCTCGCACGGTCGGCACCTGACCGGTCAGGCAGAGAAAGCTCAGCCAGCAGGGATCATGACAAGGAAGCAACTCAAGCGCAATGGCGCATAGCTTTTGCCGCCTGTACCGCTGTTGGTGAGAGAAGTGCCAGAGCAAATAATTGAAACTGCTCTGCACCAACTACTGTACATGTGGGTGCTCATGGATCACTCAAAGTAGCACGAGTGCAGCAATCACTTGTGGATCACTCACTGCTTGGGTTCAGCTTCACGCGTTGGTGGCCGAAAACGCCCATGTGCGCCAGGGCATCGAGAAGGCTTCTCCTTGGCAAGTGGCATCAAAATCCCCTTGGGAACAAGATGTCTTCTTACCGGTGCACCCAATCGGTTGCTCAGCTTCTTCTGATGGGAGCTGAGCTCATGCCCATCCTCAACTGCAAGCGGCCCGAATCGTGTCTTGACCAATTCACACACTCTCTCGCTCTCTTCAGCAGCACTTAGTCACACTTGAACATGTCTTCGTGCCGCTCACAGGAAGCGTGTCCTGCTTGTGATTCGATGGAGCGTGCAGAATGTATACCATTCCGCTGAATATGATTTGAAAGTGATCTTTGTCTTTCAACCTTCGCCAGCACATGCCCCAACGAAAGCGAAGGATTGCAACAGTCTATGGCGTCTATGGACATTGCCAGGAAACTTACTCGGATGAACGACGCACTTGTCGCCGATGACATTTGTAATTGCTGCAATCCATTTGTCGACCTCCGATGCTTCTGCATTTTGCACTTCTGCACACTGCACCACACCGCGTCCCACATGTCGCTGCGCCTGGCTGTGCTTATCACGTCGCAGAGCTTCAAACTCCTGGGGGAGATCTCCTCAGTCAAGAGCGAGCAACAACGTCGATGCTGCACAAATCGCGTCGGAGAGTCAGAACACCGGCTATCTTCAAAAAGCATACGTATGATCTGTTTCACATTTTACTGGC